GGATTCCTAAGCCCCTTGCAATTTGTCGCTCTGCTAACTTTCAGACACACTCTTCACTACATCACACGCCTTGTGCATTAAACAGTGGGTCCCCCGTCTCCTTGGCAGATCGAGATCAAAAGGGGACGTAATTCTCCCTCTTGATACACGAGTACCTCGGCTCCTCGGCAGCAATCAGGGAAGCGATACGGGCGGCTCCGATTGCTCTGCATAGGCTGCCGCTGGGTCAGCTCCATCCAAGCTGTTTGGCTGATTTACTTTATGCTCTGTTAGAGCTAAGGAGCAGATACAAATTCTTAACTACACTTTGAAAGCCCTCGGAAAACCTTATTCCCCCTGGCAGCTCTGCTGAACCCAGATCCCCCAGCAGAGCAGGACCATGGGCTCAGCACAGTGCTTCGAAGGAGGAGGAGGAGGAGGAGGAAGCAGGGAGCGTGCGCCCACACCTTGATATCCCAGCTGCTCCCAGCAGGGTGTCCTCTGACAACCAACCAACGAAACAGACTCTCAGTTGGGATCTCACCTGCCGCCTGCTAAACCTATAGACTACAACTTCATTTGGGAAAGACTTCCCAAAGCCTCGTGCACACACCTGGGCACCAGAAGCAATGCTGCTCGCTGGGTCGACGGCAAAGATGATGAACTCGTCTCAAGCTCCTAATGCCACTATTCATGAAACATTACATCTTCATTTACAAAAGACTCCCTTAAGCTCGGTGACATGGCAATGAATACAAACCACCACTAGCTCAGAGTCTCTGTTGCATAACAAGATTTAAGGTTTATGACCTAAAAACAATTGCTTTATGTCTTGGGACGGTCTGCAGGAAGCTGCTTCGCACACATGGCATTATTTAGACACCCAAATGGAGTGATTTGCATTCGGCACATCTGGTCTACAACTGCTAACAAATGATTCTATGGGCTAATATGGACGAGTAACAGGCTGATGGAGAAACCATGATTGTAAAATGATTTTTAAAATATCTTTTTAATATAAAATAAAAATTAGAGAACATTGTTATGCTCAGCATTTAAATTCCTAGGGGGTTTAATTTGAAAAAATACGGCAAATTTACTATCAACATAACAGCATGTGGGGGTTCTTGTACAGAAGGGTGTAGGTTGCCTAAAGCTGCGTTCAATTTAAACTTCCAGATAATGGGATTTAACAAATGCAGTACTATGGATCCAAGCCTTTAGCAGCTCTCTGCTTTATTAATAGCCCTACGCTCTCAGTCAGACCAAGGCTATGCTTTTAACTGCCGCGCTATTTCACATTGATGGCACCTATAATATCAACTCAACAATGCATGTTCTACAACTACATCTACTGCTACCAGTACAACTACTACAGTGCATGCATTTAGTTCAGTCCCACAGATACATACACTCTAAGAACAGGCAAGGGGAGATGTGAAATGTTTTACGGGACGACAGGTGTTTTGTTTTTTAAGTAAGGGAAATTAATAAAAACATCAAAAGAAAGAAAGTGTACAAAAAAATAGAGACATTTCTCAAGAGTTGATATGAGTCGTTTCTTGAACCGTTTCGTCTGAACAAGCAAAAAACATGCAACCAGCTGCTACTAACAAGAAGCTGGACACTGAGAGAGGATTAATAGGTGTGGACAAACCTTCCCGCTGAGAGCGCTCAGAAGAGTGTTTGAGAGGAGGTGTGCACGTCCGAGTGTAAGAGAGGCCGGAAAGTATGCCTCAGAGACACCCTCTCTCACAGCAGCCCCAACCAAGCAAGAGAGAAAACAACAAAACATAACTGCTCACACTCACCATCAAGGTCAGTAGCTTGTGTTACTAGATTCGTTATACTGGCAAGTATAAAGTACAGTAAGGGGTTGTCGGGGCGCGGGGCTCAAAGCCGGGAGAGGCACCCGAGGTCCAGCTGTGCCGGCAGCCGCCGGAGCACCGCGGCTCACCTGGGACAGCCGGGCGCTGGCTGCTGAGCAGCGGGTCGGGCTGGGCTTACGGCCTTAGCGCTTTGATCTCTGGTCAGCAGGGAGGAAAGGCTGGTGGCAACAGGTTGGAAACTGGAAAAATCTCAGACTTGTCAACGAACCAAAAGGGAAGGCACTAAAACCCTCTCCTGCCAATTTTTCGCTGGCTCGCTTTCCTTCCAAATTAGTCCCCCCCCCCCATGTCAAATGTAAGATAAAGATGTCCCCCCGATGGTTTTACTTTAAAAAATGTGTTTACGAGACAAAAATGTTTTACACGCAAAAAAATGTCAGGTGGATTTAAAAGAAACGTGACATTGATAGTGAAGTTGTCTAGGAGGAGTTTGCAGCACTCAGACTTTTACGTTTGCTCATTTTCCATGGCTCAGGTCCCAATTCATAAAAAAAAAATTCAAGAATAGATGAGGTCATCAAAAGCAGCCGAGGGATCTGGCATGGCCCCACCAATGGCAATGGAGGCTGAGAGCCCTCAGCCGTCACCTCTTCGTGGGGATGCAGCTGGGTCAAGAATGGGGTTTAGGGCTGACATTGAGCATGAGCAGAGGGAAACATCCCTTTTTGCTGAGCGTAGGATATAGCTGCTGTGACAGAAAAGAGAACCTGTCTGACCTAGCGAACTGGTGACTGCATCCTCACAAAAGAAAAAGAAGGGGAGAGGGAAGTGAAGAGTGAACAGCTCTTGCGCAGGTAGGTAACTGCCCTGCTGCCCAGCGTCACACAGGGTGCCACAAAGGGTCGCCCGCCAGGAGCAGTAAGGTCAGCAGTGTCTGCACACCAGAGCTGAAGGGGATTGGAAACGAGAAGGCTGCAGTCTCCTTGGGAGACCATGAGGCTGAGCAGTGAGGCCAGGGTGCGCGGCCAGGAGGAACGCAGTGCTGCACTGCCCACAGAGGGGCAGCAGCCATGGGGCAGGGCAGCGGCACCGCACTCTGGGCTTTGGGCCGGGGCACGCATGAAGGAGGGCTGTGCAAATTTGCAAAGGGAAAAAGAAAAATCCAACCGAAAAGAAGAAAAACCCCAACCTTTTTTCTTGTAATGAATCGGGCTTATAGACTGTATCACAAGATTGATGGCACTCTACTGCTCCTGGATACAATTCACTACCATGGCTGGATGGAAGTGAGGATGTCCCTTCCAAAAGCTGTCTTTGGATGGAGATGACTACGTGACACACGCCATGCCCAGAGCAGGGCTGGCTGCGCCCCACGGCTGTGACAGACCCACCTCCCTCCTGCAGGTCTCAGGGTTGGGGGGCTCTTGTGATTCGGTTTTGGAGTTTTGCCATTTTTATGCACACGGGCAATTTTGAGGCTTGAAAGACATTTCCAAACACCATACTGCTCTTTAAACTTGCCAGAAAGGGTGTTGTTAATTTCGAGTTAGATTTAGTTTTGTATTGCAAGTTCAAATAAAAAACGAAAAAAACAAAACAAAACAGAAAACCCAACAGAAGAAAAACCAAAAAACACTCAAATTAAAGACAAATGATTTTCAGGCACAGAATTGATCAATGCTCAGTTCAGTTGTAATGGGCACCAAAAGCACTCCGATTAAAAAAATAGTAATTATCAGGGAAGCAATGTTAATCCAGCCAAAACCTCTGTGCCTTGCTAAGGGGCAACTCACCAGGTCTGTTTGTACGTAAAACAAAACCTGAAGGGCAAAACATGAGGAAAAGGCAGAAACAATGAAATCTGTTTTTCCTGAAATCATATGCAAAATCATTCTCTTTTTTTCCTTTTTTTTTTTTTTTTTTTTTGGAAAACTTTTGTTTCCCTCAATTAAGGGGCAGTGGGAGGAGCGAGGAGATTGGGATCCCCACAACCAGTCTGGCAAGTCACCCCTTAGGCGCTCTCTACATGCCACAAAATGGAACTGGTACAGATAATCCTTTGTAGCCTGCAAGCAGTGCCAGTTTGCATGGAACGGAGTTCTCCTGGTGTCTTGCTTTGGCCTCCATGGCATCAGGCTCACACATCAGGGCCCGTGCCCTCCTCCTGACCCGGTATGCAGCGGTTTGGTCGGTTCTTTCCTGGAAGAGCCCGGTTCAGACACCGGCACCACCAAGAAAGCCACCGAGAAACCCCCACGTCAGGACTGCATCATGGGTGAGCTGGGAGCGGCCTCCAACGCCGCGGCCTCCGCCCGGCACAGCACCAAGCGGCCGACCCCTGCAGTGGGCCCTGTGCCGGGGAGGCCGTGCACAGCGCTGCCTCCAGCCCGGCCCTGCGGCCTCCTGCACCCCACGGCCCCCGTGGGATGGGGACAGGCTGGTGGCTGGGCTGCCCAACCGGCAGCTCACTCATGAGTGCACTAAACGCTCCACGACCTCAGCAAAGCGCTAATTTGCACCTTTATCTGAATTTAAAGCCCAAAGTAATAACGGTAATTGGCAATGATTGATTTATTTCCCTTAAGGGGAAAAACACGGAAGTGTTCGGAAGGACAGGAAGAAAAGCTTTGGCGTTTCCATGAGAAGCGGCCGGCGCACCGCAGGGAATGGCGCACGGCCACCATGTGGGACCGACCTGCGGCACCGGGGCGCAGCGCCTGCACAGCCCGGCACTCATCTTCCATGAGAAACGAAAACTTTCTTTCACAAAACCACAATTCTTTTTTCTTTTTGGTGTCCTTTATGATCTCGAATTTAAACAACAGAAACCAACATAATAAAGGAATAAGTAAAGAAGCAAATCAGAATATCTACCCTGGTTTTGGCAGTTCTGACGCCAATCTCCTGCAAGGTGCTCCAGGCCCGTGGCCTCTGCTTGTAGTTTGGGGTTGGGATTTAGTTATTTTTTTGTTTATCTTTTTGATCGATTGGTTTCAGATCCCCAGGATAAGCGTGAGGAAAATCAGAGAAATGATGGAGAGCTGCAGCCACACAGAATACCGACAGAGCTTTTACCTGACCCTGCACTCTGAGGGTTTGCTCTTCCACGGGCCCCCCTACCTGATCCTCTTGCTGCCGCCACAGCTGCCGCTGCTACTGGTCCGTAAGCCGCTGCCGGAAAACCTGGCCGTGGAGAAAAGGAGAAGGGTGAAGAAAGAAGCCAGCGGCACCGCGCGCCTCTGCGGGGCGTCCCCCAGGGCAGTGCTGGCACACGGCTCCTGGGCACGGCGCTGCAGGAGGTGAGGTGCTGGGCTGACCCCGCAGGGCCACCCACAGCCCGCAGCCAACATCCCCTCCAGCAGGCAGGGCTGGACCGTGCACACAGCGACGGCTGCATTTCGGTCCCTGCTTATTTGCAAGTGATAATAATGTGCCGATCTACAGACAGAGCAGTAATGGAAAACGGGGGAAGGGTCTCGTGTCGAGATCACAGATTTGCTGGGATCAAGCAGAAAAAAACTCAACTGGAATGTAATTTAAAAAAGAAAGAAGGAAAAAAGCTTTTGATAGCAAAACAGCCGCAGATAAAGGAGCCTGAAGACACACACCCTGCTACAGGGGGGCTGCAGATGAATGAAACGCTGCTAGCAAGATTTCAGACTCGGTTTCTTTACTTAATTAATATTAAAAGATCTGCCAGCGGCTTTGACTTTCAATATATATTTTAAGAGGGCAATGGCAAGGTCCAGGCAATCAACAGGAACCCCCAGTACCCTGTGCTGCCACGTCAACAAAGCACTTGGAGCGCTCCTGGTCCCTGGGAGCTCCTGCTGTCAGCCAGGACAGCTGCTGGGACAGCCTCTGCCTCAGCACTGCCCTCAGCAGCTCCGGGACCCCAGTCCGCAGCTGCTTTGCAGTGCTGAAGAACCACAGAAAAACAACTGAGACAAGAGAGAAGAGAACAGCACAAGCTGAGAGACGGAGAGAGCGAGAGCCAGAGAAACCTGCCAACTACGAGCCTGCTACCACTACCATCCTAGCTACGGGGAATCTACCAAGGGCACGAGCAGAGAGCAGCTAGGCTAGGGTCACTTAAGGCTACTTAAAACATTGATTAAAAAACAGACATACTTGCATTTAAATATGGTAATAGGGCTGCTGGGGGAAAAGAGAAAGTCTAGGTAAATGTATATGCAGAGTAACCCAGGCAGCTGCTCCCTGCATACAGAGCCCATGCACAGCACAGCAAACCCTGCTACTCAACACCTACACGATCTGTTCATTACGTCGATGAACTGCTATGATCTCTGAGGAGCAGGATATAGAGGGAAGCATTTTCACATCAGGGGATGTTATAACAAACACCGAAGTGTTTTTCATTCCTGTTGGGGCACCCTGCTCGGCTCCCCCCAGCACAATGTAGCAGAGTTGCCTGGAGCAAGAAGACCTTGGTGTTAAGAGAATCAAACCAGCATTAGCCAACAGGGAACACACCTGCAGGACGAGTGCATTGCTCTGGGGCTCTGTTTTTGTGCAGAGCCATGCTCAGGCTGAACGCTGAGCTGGGAGCACATGGGACAGAGCAGTGCTCACAGCCTCCCCCCTGCCCACCACGGAGCACGTCCTGCTACCTCGTCCCAGGCAGCGCCCACCACACTCCCATGCCATGCTCAGGACCAGCTGCCCAGCAGCAAACCCGTCACTTGGGGGCTCTGGAGGCCCTAAGCCATCTGTAAGGGATCAGAGGAGCTGTGGATTTCCCAGGGAATCAAATGCCTCTGCCAAAACCAATCTAATACCCTTCAAATCACCATGCATCTCCCAAAAGCAGCATAAAAAACAGGGCTGCAAAGTTTGTTTCTCTTGTTCAGCTGCCAGGGACTCTCAGTATCTATTTGAAATGCAGGACAAAAAGTTTTGCCATGCAAAAGGAGAATGAAATAACAAGGGTGGAGAAGGCTCTCCACAAAAAGAGCCTGAACAAAGCATCTATTATCGCGATCCAGAGCTCAGTATGGACAGATGTGTGAAAAATTAATCCCTCCTCCCTGAAAGAAAGCTGTTCTCCTGACTGTGAGATGAAAGCCTCTGCACCAGAGGCACTGCACAGCTCCATGCAATGGGACTGCTTGGGACGGCTGCGTGGGGCAGCACAGGTGGGAGATGGGAGCAGAGGCTGATTATCCGAATTGACAAAAGCCCGCTTACCAACACACACAGACGGGCTCCATCACTGGAGGATCCCTAAATCAATCCAACATGCTGAAAGTAATCAGTCCCACACACTGAAATTACATTTGCCAGGCACTGCATTAATCAGCTCCTTCAGTCAAAAACAAATTTCCCACTCATCACACTGCTGAGCACATTAATGCTGCGTGCTGTCTCAGAGCAGAGCCAACCCACTTCTTGTTCTTACGGAGCTCTTTGTCCCTGTGTCTCCTGGCAGTGACACCGTCTCCATTTCACAGACGGTACAAAATGTAGCACGAGGAGCAAAGTCACTTGGGGAAAGGTATTTGAAAAAGGGAACCACTGTGCTGGTTTCTGTGCCCCCAAAGGAACCCTGCTGTCACAGAACCTCCCCCAGGTCCCACCAGCACCTCGGGGTGAGGATGCCCTCCCGTTCGCAGCAGCCACAGCCCCTTCCCCTGGGCCGAGTCTGGCCCATCACAAGTACCCATACACCTCCCCACGCGCTGCTCCCCGGCAGCTATGAAGCTCCATGAGAAACGGGAAGGGGTGGGAGGACAGATCTTCTCACAATCATGTCTGCGTGAGGGGCTCCAGGCTCGCAGAAAAGATCCCTGCCCTCCTTTGTGAGTCCTCTGCATATAATTGCTTATAGAAAACAAGATAGCAAAGCTGTTCAAAAGGCCTAAAGTGCCTTCTTCAGGCACTGCAATTAGAAGGTATTTTACAATAAATGTTTTCCATGGGCTTGCACACTGACCAGGAAAGCCCTGAGGATTCACAGCAATTTCATGCTCTCTTATTGTTCAGAATGAGCCAAAGCCAGTGTTTGGAGTTCAATTTTTCACAGATACATTTTTCCGCTTCCCGCACCAACAGTTTCCCTATAAATGCCAAAGCAGCCCCTGCGATGGGGCACGGACACGTCTGTTTCCAGAAGCCCTACCCTACGGTCACAGCTTGAGGCTGTCTCCACACCAGTGCTTTCTCCAGCACAGAAACAAGTCAGGGAGCAGCAGGCTGGCAGCGGGACAGGAGCTCAGAAGGCAGCACGCGGCCAATGGGGCAACTAGCGATTGCTTTGGGCCATGTCACACTCGGCCCTGAAGCACACATGATACTGCACTGTAGGAACACCGGGACATGAGCAATCACACCCCCCAAAAGTCACAAAGACCAAGATATCCCTTTTCCTATCAATAAATACTATGCAAACAATTTCCTCTTCTTCCTGCTGACTAAAGCACGTGGGCACATGAGGTCGCACCGCAAGAGTCTAGCAATGAGCACATGTGGCCTCAGCACCAGATTTCAGAAAAACAACCAAAATTATTACAGAATCACAGAATGGTTGGAACTGGAAGGGACCTCTAAAGGCCAGCAGATCCCACTGCCCGGCAACACACAGGGACACTCACAGCTCCATCAGTGCTCAGGGCCGCCTCCCCTGACCTCGGCTGTCTGCAGGGACGGGGCAGCACCACCCCTCCAGGCAGCCTGTGCCACCTGTAAAAAACTTCTTCCTTACGTCCAACCGGAATCTCCCCTCTTGTAGTTTGGCCCCTTGGCCTGTGACAACGGACCCCGGGATGTATGCTGGAAGCTCCACTGATCTCCCAGGGAAAAAAGCGCCAAGTTGCCAATGCAGAAGTGTCTGCAGGTGGAGCAGGAGAGGGGGAACCGATGCCCTCCTTTCACACAGCGTTACCAGCGGCTTTGATCAATGCAGGAGAGCAGCGCGAGGCTCACAGCTGTCATTTCAGATGGGTTCTCGCCCGCATTATTCTTTCCATTAGGCAGTGTTATCCTCTTTGTCGGATCTTTAGGCTTCATTTCATAAGTATCAGACTCGCAACCATGAAGCAGAAGAGCCCGCTGCCTTTTTTTGGGAGGCAGGCAGGCATGGGTCCAATTTACCGGACACAAATGCAGCCTTTAATGGTGAGCACACACGAGGGAAAGCTCAATCCCAAAACAATCCCTTTATGCTCAAAACTTTCATCTTTCAGTCCTCCACCTCCCCCCCCTCCTTTTCTACAAGGAACAAAAATGAAAAATAAAACGCAGCTGCCGTGTCAAGCTTTAGATGAACAGCCGACCACTCACCGTTGGAGGAACATGCCCAGAGAAATCAAACTCCATCTAGGCTCACTGAAAGATCAGGACAGCACCTGACCACTCACAACCCGCTGTCGTGCTTTAGGAGCAATTAACTCTCCTGATTTGACTGCAGACCCACAAAGCTCTCCCACTGCCCGCAGCACCACGGCACTGGGCAGCGCTCGTGGGCACGCAGTCTGCTGCCAAGCTTCCCATCAACTCCACTAACACTTTAAGCATCCCCAGGCCTGCCCAGAGTTATCCTGACAGCCCCATTAAGCGCTTCCCTTTGTCTTTATATGCTGTGGTACATCAAGCTTATTAAAATCTATTTCAGCAGGTCAGAAAATTAGCGAACTTCAGATTCAGCACATCACGCATAATGGAAACCTCATTAGCAGCCCTCTGTTATTCAAGGCACAGCCGTCTGCCGCTTGAAATGTACGACGCGTCGCGGTCTTGGTGGGGAAACGCTCCACGTCAGACCCGCGATGCGCGTCGCGCCGGATGTTCTTACGGCAAATAATGCTTCTGCTCTGGAATTTCAACAAAACAATAAAATCCAAATATAGTTAACTCAAAATTTGGCACTTGCGCTTTATGTACAGTGAACGACCCATTTTTCAGCTGTTTACCACTCTCAGGCCACGGTTTTTAAAATGAGAATGATGCACTTTTGCCCAGTAATTACTTTATGCATCACTGAGACAAAGCCTTGTTTGTCTCCAAATTATCGTTCTGTGTCATTTCGAGTGTAATAACCCTTCTGCAGTCATTTCACCGTGCAGAAAACTGGGAAAGTTCTCAAAGGCAAATGGCTCATTCTCAGTAAAGTATTCATATAGAAAACAAAAAACAAAAAAACACAAAAAAGGAAAACCCCCAAAACCAAAGCAAGGGCCGCTAGCTGCCTTAGTCTATTTACTCTCCTTAAGGCATCCAACTCTGCTCCTCAACTGTGCCCTGCAAACACTGCACCTCCCACCACCCAATGCTTCAGCTCAGTAAGTAATCTTCCCTAATTTCCTAATCTGGTAAAACACAGGGAATTATGAGCTTCAGGTGAAAGCAGCTCATGTGCGTGAAAGAGAATCTCAACTAAATCGCTTCCTAAAAGCAAGTAATTCTCTTCAGTACTAAGCTGATTGCCCCACTGAAAGCATTTCTCATTTTAAAGCCCAGAGCCAAATGCCTACCATCGATGTCTAATAAACAAGGTCTATAGAAGAGGAACGCTGGCAGCAGGGGGGAATGCCTGTGGGCTCCCCATGCCCCGGCCCAGCAGCACTGAATCATCACCTCCCACTAACAAACAGGGCAGGGCGGAGGGAAGAGCATCACGGCATGTATTTAAAGTTCAGCAAAGCGGCGCTGATTTGCTTAAAGCCTCATTTGAGTGCTTCGATGGTATGGAAAATGAGCTATTTTGTTTAAACAGCTTGCTTAAATTTTTATGAATGATCTAAACTATCTGGGTAAGTATTATTAAAAGACGGATCCCAGGCTATGAAAAAACGCATAAGAAAAACCCATGTCTGGAAGCTGGAGTTGGAAGAACTCCACAAGGGAGGGGCTCCAGCAGAGAGATGATTAAGCAGAGGGGCAGGGGGTCGGCAGCTCTGCACCATGTGCGGGGTCCCAGGAACAAAAGCCGCTCCTGATGCCACACCACAGCCATGTGGTCAATGCATCCCTGCAGCTCTGGGCTGGGGGAACTGCTGCTGTGCAGCTCAGGACCCACGTCACAAAAACGGGCTGAGCAGAGGATGCTGAGACTCAGCCTGAAGCCCTCAGAGCAGCGCTGTAGTGCTGGCAGTGCACTGCTTTGGGGAGGAGGCGCACCTGCAGGCGACTGGACGCTTCAGTAGAAGCGTGGAACCCTATCAATAAATGCCACTGAAAAACATTCACGTTGGAATGTCTTCCTGCTTTATGGAGAATCATCACTACGAGTTCTTTTTCAGCCCCTTACTCTATCTGTAACAGCCTTACGGCTAAGGATCAGGCCTTCAGCCTCTGCAGGTCCACGCAGGCAAGCTGCCACACTCCATGCAGCTGGGGCACGCAGAACCCCTCACAGCAGAATGGCATCTCCAGATCGCATCATTTGCTCCATGGGGTGATCTCTGCTTTGTCCCACACGTTCTGCTTGAGTTACAACTCTTAGCTGTTGGAAATAACTCCCGTTACGTTTCCCGGTCTCTGCTCACCACACAGTCACACAGGAGCTGTAGGCTGCGATGTTTGCTCCTTCCTGTCCTCCTCGTCCCCATAGGACCACTCATTCCCAGGGCAATGGCTGTGGATATTTACAGCCTGGCTCTTGCACAGTTCAGTGAGCAGCTGGGAATGGGCAGAGGCTCCCAAGGTCAGCAGTCAGGGTGCTCCTCCTGCTCAGGCACTGAGTAAGGAAAAGCCTAAGGAAGGACAGGGTGTGCTTTGGTCCTTCAGATGAGCTCTTACCAGCACGCAGCACAGAGCCTTCCTCGTGCCCTGCTGGCAGCTGGAGCACAGACCAGGACCAGCGGATCCTCCTGAAGGCCTCCCCTCCAACTCAACACCAGGATATTATTTGGAAGGGCAGAGGACATAGGAGGTGCGAATTTCTACAAAGCACTTCTGTGCAACACAAAAAAATAAACTCATAAACAAAAGATACCTATAAAAGGCAAAGCTGCCAAAGCTCTGCTTGGGCTCAGACAACAGCTCTAGGCAGTCTTTTTTACTTAATCAAAACAAAACTCTTATCATCTAATACAACTTGAAGGAGTACCTTCTGGCTGGGAATGCATAGGCTTTGCTACATTCATTTCTCAGTTTGTCAGCTGCTCTTTCAGTTCAGTTCAGTTGCTCCTCACTGCCGGAATGCAGCTGCACCAAGAACTCCTCAGCCTGTCCTCTGCCAACCAGAGAAACCCAAACTCTTAATTTTTAGACCAGGTCAAGTCCATGGCCTTTGTTTTCACTGATGGAGACAGAACTAAGAGTTCTGAAGAGCGATAATTAAGGTGATTCTAGCAGATTTCAAATGCACTTTGTGAACCATTTGATGCCATGCAGATACAGTAATGTGTTTTTTTGGTGAACAAAAGCACGCAGCGCAGGGATGATGGCAGCAGACTTTAAGCTGTTAAGAAAAGGTTAGACAAAGGAGTGAGAGCAGTTCCAACTTCGTTCAGCATCTCTCGCTGCTGCAAGGCTTCACTAATTGAAAATACACCAAGTGTATTTTGCATCGCCTCCTCCTATTCTGCAGCTGCCAGTAACTTCTGTCTTCCTTAATGTTAAGTTTGATCACTAAATTATCACATCTAGACAAACACATTCTTTGTTAGACAAGTCTACAACTTGCGTAACAGTGCTTTACAAGAGTGTGGTAGGGAGCAGACTCCTTCAGTACTAACTTCATTACTCCCTGCTAGCAAGGAAACCACATGCAAGCAGCATCTCTGCTTTTGGAACTTCCCCATCACCTGAGCAGAGAGCTGGGTGCTGGAGCACAGAAGGGAGCTTGGGATCCTGGCAGCACCACGCATGTTGTGCTGGGAGATGGAGCTCAGCCAGTGCAGCTGGGCAGAACCACAGCGCAGTCCCTGGAGGAGAGCTGCTCTGCATCCCTGCTGAGCGAACATCCTGCTCCCAGCCTGGCCAGGCTGTACCCAGCACGGCACCAAGTGTAACTATGGACATGCTTGTTTCCTCCAGTCCCACTGTGTTTCTCTTAGATTACTTAAAAAGGAGCGGGGAACCAAGAGACCTGCAGGAGCAAAGCCAGCTCACAGCTTCGTTGCACTGCTGAATGTCCTCAGCACCAGAAAGAGGTAAGGAAGGAAGTTGCCCTTTCTTTCAGACACAATACAAAAGAAGCCTTAAGCATGTCATTACTGTAATCATTACCTTTCCCTCTGGTATCAGCTCCTTTTCTTGACCCAGAAAGCAGCTACCACACCTACCAGGTGAGCATCCCGAAGTAACTTTTAGGGAAGGACACCATCCTACTCAGAATCAATTGCTGATGAGTGAGCAGTGCGCAACTGCTATCAGGAAAGAAACTAAACTAAACTCTGTGCATTAGCAGAAAGTTGGTTTGGTTTTAAATATTCTCATAATAATAGAAAGTCCCCGTTCAGACTCAGCTCCCTTGCATTGTGTGTTTCCAGCAGGAGCACAACCCAGAACCAGGCTCCAGGCTTTGCAGACTATGGATTATTAATATGCAATTGTTCTTACAGGAGCTCAGGAAAGTTTGTGATAATATCTGGCTTTCCCACCTCTTCCCACATACAAAGGCTTTAATAAGCTTTAACAAACACACAAGCAAACAAACCCTTCATTAAAAAGAAATTTAAATTCCTGAGCTGAAGGCTTCTGAGCAACTCTGACATCCCCCAGCACCGGGCAGTGACAGCAGAAGGGTCACAGTGACACCCACAGCGATGGCAGCTCTGCACTCTGCAGCACGGCTCAGGGCAAACGCTGCTGTCCCAGCACAGGACCTTCTGCCATGACACTGCCCTAAAGCATCACGTACCCCATTGTCCCTTCCATTTCCAAGCAGCAAAAGAGCCTCCTGCTCACCAGTGCCGGACAATTTGCAGCACGAGTTTCTACCACAGCTACAGTTTGGTGCTCAAACCCACCTCGGTCACTGCTGGGAACGCTGCAACTTTACGGGCAGACAGCGCTCTCCCCCAGCTATGAGTGCGCTGTCATTGCTTTTGTTTTCATTTTTGCTGTCAACACACCTCATACGTAACCATTCGTTTGCAGGCTCTTCCAACAGTGGCTCACGCGCTGGGAGTGGTGGTGGTGTCATTCTTTTATTAAGCTGTCATTGGTACTGGTTATTTGGTGCATCCAAACCAAAATATTAAATCTGCAAGCTAAGAGAGCAGCAACACAGCACATCCGTTGTAAACAATTTATTATTATTCTCTACCTCAGTTACTTACAGGAAAAAAAGTCATAAAAAAAAAAAAGCACAGATGGACTATTTACAAAAAATGAGAAAATTCACAACAGCCGAAATGTTTGCAAATCATGCACACTAAGACAAGTTCACAAAAGCAAAGCAATTCATAGCAAAAAAAAAAAAAAACCCAAACAAAATAATAAGAAGCCATACAGATTAAAAAAGCTATTGCCTGCAGGAAAGTAAAAAGGAAACTAACCAATCGTTACATCAAGCATCTTTAATGAAATGAACAGCACAGCCGTGTATCGCAGAGCCTTTGACACCGACATTTTAAACAAGTGGATTAACAAACATTAAAATGCATTACAGTTCTACTGTAAGCATGCAATTTACTTCTCACAAACTTATAAGGTAGGTAGAAACACTTGAAAAAAAGATACCATGTGTGCTTTCTACCCAAACCAGCAGAATCTGGTCTTGTTAAAGCGGAGCCAATGGACAACAGCAGCAGATCACAGGTTTGCAGTTCGGGCATTTGAGATTGAGAGGTGCAGCACAGCTGAAAGCAGCACAGTGAAAGCCCCTCCTGCCCAAATTTAAGCAATCTGCTCACAATTTGCAAGTAAAGTCTGCAAGCAAAAGCGATTGCAGGAGGAGGTGGAAGCATCGCCTGCTGCAGGAGGCAGGAGGATGTCATTGAGGGGATGGCACTGAGGGGTGGGACACTGTGGTTCAGTGGTGGCCACACAGAAGCCACCGACCCCAACCCCGAGGCAGCAGCTGCCCCAGGCAGAGCCGCCCCAAGCACAGCACAGCACAGCCATGGGCGGCTGCTGCAGCACGAGAAGCGCTCTGGGGGTAATTCAGCCCTGATCCGCTGGAACCCCAGCGAGAGGAGACGGCGGCCTCGCTCCGCTCTAGCTACGACATGTGCTGCTGCACCAAGTGCCAGCATCCCTCTGGGGCTGGTTGTGAGGCCCAACCATCGTTTTTGCTCCCCGGACAGAATTATGCCTAAGAAGTTTGTGAGAAGTCATGCCTTCGTAATGCCCCTCTCCCCATCCCTGTGAGTTACATTCCAAGTGGGCATTAAAAACTCATAACAAAGCAGAGGGAAAAAATAACAAAATTAAAAAAATAATAATAAAAAGCAAACTCAAAGCAGTGAGGATATGGAGCCTTTAAAAAAAATAAAGTAAAAAGTCCATTCAATCAAACCAGCCAGCAAGAGCAGCAATTTCTCAGTGGACATTGATATTAACATGGACCACCCAGGCTTTGTCTGTCTCTCTCTCTCTCATTAGCACTGTAGTAAACCCCGATTAATTTGTTATGCATCTTTAAGAACTAGTTGATAAAAATTATGTCTTGTGAAATCGGCAAATAGTCTGCAAAGTGAAATAAGAACAGAAATTAATAGATTAAACTGAAAAGATAAGTCCCAGAAATTAAAAAAAAAAAAAAAAAGACACAGAAAGGGAGTGATTGTAAAAAAAAAAAATAAAAAAAATAAAAAAGAAGAGGCTACGTGCTGAGTTATAAAGGCCTAGAGGAAAAAATAACGATGGGAGAAGATGGAAGTGCCTGTGCGTGCCGTGCTGCGGGCCCGGCGGGCAGAGCGGCAGATGTCAGACCCTCTGAGCAGGGTCTGCCCGCGTTCACCTGACACCCCACAGCCACCCAAGGCCCTGTAACCCCCCAGTGCCGCAGCGCTCACTGCCCCAGGCGCTCTCCCGGCTCCATGCAGCAGACACCGCACACCGCCCGACCCCAGCGCAGCAGCCCCTGTGCTGCCATGAGCAGCGCTGCTCCCAGTGCCAGCCCCGGCCAGGAGCTGCCTGCCTCCCCTGCCAGCCCTGTTTTCGAGCTGCCCTGAGCAGGAGGCACAGCCTGAGCGCAGCGCTTGCTGGAGGTAACGTTTCTCTTTGATTTTCTCCTGTGCCACAACCTCTGCAAGAGATTGAACGTAACCAGACAATCATGGGAAGATCTGCTTGGAAAAACCCAAACCTTCAGGACAGTGTATGTCAGGATGGCTGAAGCTCAACGCACCTCTACATTCAACAGCCAGACGCGCTCATTTTAGTTATGTTTATAATTAAAGCCACCTGAGCTGTGCTGATTTTCACCGTGTAACCTATCGAGGCTGTCCCTTATCTCTGCTCTCACACAGACCAGTCACCACAGAAACCCCATGAGCCTGCCCTGCTGCTGCGGGGCACACAGAGCACCAGCACTGCCACCCGCCCCAGCAGCACACTCTGTTCATTGCTGTGCAAAGGGCAGCAGCACAGGTGGGGAACAGGCAGGTGAGTATAATGTAGAGTGTTGCATCTACAAAGCCTAGCAATAAAGAAAAAAAAAATTTAACACCGGCTTCCCTAGATGCTACTCATCCTGCAGACACCAGATCTGCAGTGCAAGGACATCATTCATCCTACGGATGTTAATAACACACATCCTTTCCATGCAACATTCCTTCCTACTCATGCCACGGCTGTATCTACACCTCACGTGCCTAAGGCACAGCCAAGCGCTACTCCTTGTCCTCTGTCCCACCCAGGATCAACCTGACAAGTGCTCGAGAATTTAATCTGCTGCTGCAGCAGGGAGGTTAGCTCCACTAAGCACCAACACAGCAGCTGTAACTCAGCACACAGCACTGACCACAGCAGCCACAGCTCTGCCTAGTAATGTCCCTGAGAAGCACTAAGGTGAAGGAAAACGGCTCTCGGCCCTGCCAGCAGTGCTCACAGACCTGGGAGGGGAGCACAGCACAGAGCTGGAGCCCAAAGAGGGGAGTGAGCACAGCACAGGATGCTGGGAAGGACACAGCGGGCACCGATGGAGGCAGCAATGTTGGAGTGCAGAGCTGCCCTCCCGCTGGATGCGAACGTACTGCAGAGCGGGGCGCGTGTGCGAGGCTGTGTGTGTGCCCACGTGTGTGTGCCCACGTGTGTGTGCCCGGGCACAGAGCTGCAGTATGCAGAAGGAAGAACTCATTAGAGGGAGCTAACAGCTCTGAAATCAGTTCTGCCACTTCGCGCTTCAACTTAAATTTTGTTTTCAAATAACCAGTACCAATTTACACGTTAATAAAGATGTATTAAATGTATGTATCTGTATAGATATATTTTAATCACAAAAAAATATGTTATGTGAGATGCTCCCTGCAGACTTGCCTGCCTCAACCTGCAGCTACAGATTAGAAAAAAAAAAAAAAGAAAAAAGAAAAAACCAAAGAAGGAAAGAAGGGAAAAAGAAGTGAATCTGCAAATGAAATGTACGTACCTGGAAACTGATAGCTGTAACTTGGGGCAAATCCAGGATATCCTCGGCCATATGTCGCGACAAAATTCGGGTAACCTTGATCACAGAAACACAAAAATAAATAAACAAACAAGTAAAACAGTGAGAGAAAATGTTTTAAGACTAACAGAGGCTTTTTGATTATAAATATAATACCAAGTAACATTGAGGATGGGCAAAACTTATGCAGAAATGAGATTTATTCTGCTCATGCAAAACGCAGCAAAGGTTTCATTATCATCTGGAATAGAACCATCCAGAGATGGAGGGCTGCTGATCACCTGCCTCGCACGAGCGCTGTCACTCCTGTAATTAACATGCACTTTGGTGCCTGAAGCCCAAGGACTGTGCATACTTGTTAGCTGGAAGAGTAAATGCCAAATGCTAAGGCTAAACACATAACACAGGTTTGCCCTGACATTTGGAGAGCTTACAATGAATGTACTTTGCTTCAGAGCTATTGACAGTTGGAGATTAAGGTAGTAGTAATTCTTTATCCCAGGAGTGTGAAGGACAACAGTTAACACATCAAAGAGTTGGAGGAGCCACGGCAACGAGTCAGAGTCAAAGGCTTTTAATTTTTCAGGAAAGTAAAACCCGGAGATGAGAACCGCTTCCTAAAGGCATCGCTCAGACACACACACCCAACCTCGGGCAGCTTTTGAAGTCGTATTATGAGAAAAATACCATTGAAGGCCGTGTCACTAATAAAAATGTTGGAGGAAGCGCACGAAGGAGCAGTGCTGACCACCTGAACGCTGCAGGTGGAAGGCAGAAGGTGCTGCCAGCGGGGCAGGGCCATGGCACACCGGTGCCCTGCTGCTCATCCTCAGCATCCCCTGCTCAGCGCTCACCAACAGCGATTCTCTCCTGTAATTCTAAAGCACTGAGCACTACACAACATCCCCTGTGGCCACCAGCATCAATCGATGCACCAAGACTCCTCCAGCCTTCAAGAAAGGCCCCTCCAGACCAAGGACCATCTGCAGACGCTTGGTGTTGCTCCATCTGAAGCCAAAGGCATCCCGCAGTAAGGGCAGTGCAGGAGGCCTGGCATCCCCGCAGCCACTCACCCTTGTGCATATACATCCCACAGCAATCCTTCTGCCAGGGCAAGTCCCTCCGATTCGATTTATACATACATATAATGTGCTATTAATCATCATCTAAAACTGGAAGATAAAAGTGCTTGGATGAATTCTGATGCGGCGATTAGGCAGTGCCAGGGGAAAGCAGCCCGCAGCCGCAGGACAGTGTTCTGGCTTCCCGAGGTACGTCCATTCTGCTCAGCACACAGATTTGTTTCACAGCTCAGCAGCTGGATTCCCTTAGAAATTAATCACTTCTGTCGCTAAATCAGATCTTTCAGTGTTACGCTTCACAAAACTTTTTCCCTTAAAAAAAAAAACAAAAACCCACAAAAACCTCCACTACTACCGTACTGACAAATGGATTATTTGCCAAGTGAGTGACACCCCTCTGAGCACCGTGAGCTCCACGGCCGCCCTGCCGCAGCACTGCTCTCCCCCTGAGGTGCAGGGGCTGCCCGGGGGGGGGTCTCAGCTGTATCCCCGGCTCTCAGCGCTCCCTCGGCCAGACAGATGGAATCATAAATTTACAATACAACATTACTTCAATTTTCCTCTTCATTTACTGCTGCAGTGCCCCGCTCTGCTCTAACGAGTCGAAGCCCGATCCGTGCAGGGGAAATGGGCTGGCTGAATATCAATAGCACATTAACACCAGGCCCATGTGGCTGCTTCATCAAGCCAAATTACGGCCATGCTGACCTATCCACCATTTCCATTAGATGCCATAGTCATCCTATGTTGGGCAGTGAACAGTTTATTTGCTTCAGTACTCCTAGTGAATGACCCAACCCTCTGATTATCCCTCACTGTAATCCAAGAATCCAAGTTTTGCCCAGGTTGCCTCCTCTCAAGCAAGATCCCGGGGCCTGCTCCAACCAAGACCCCAAAGCACGCTGACAATGCCAAGCTCCTTGACCCCACAGTGTCACTCCAGAGGCAGTGGGTTGAGCACACCAGCAGCCCTATGCAAGGTGACAGCAGTGGCTGCAGTCACTGGGCTGACCAGCAGCAGTCGCAGTGATGATTCTGTTGGAAGGAACACCCAGCACTGCCACAGCGCGAGGTCGGTGTCCTGTCAGGGGAAGGTCTCCTGGAGGAAAGCGAAGGCTCTGCTTCCAATGCAAACAGATCAACACTGACCTTTTCACTTACAGTTTATGAGAGAGTTCCACAACACCACTGGTATAAAAGCCCAGGGTAAAGGCCAGTCACTACAGGCATGTCACAGAAGGGAAGATGGAGCAGAGTGCCCTGCCCTCCATTGTGCCCACAGGAACCTGCGGGCCTGGAGCCTGAGCTCGCAGCACGAGGTCACCAGGGTGGTGGGATACCAAGCCAGGACCTTGGCTCTGCGTGGTCCACGTGTTTAGATGTTGTGATCCAGGATGAAAAACCTCACAGCTAATGTATGGATGCATGGAGTGATTGCTTTGAGCAGGGGACTTCTGCTTTTACACTGAATTCAAGAAAAACATCCTCTCCCCACGTGAGAGTTGCTCCCGCGGTGCAAAAAAGCAGATCTGTCCCAGTGCAGGGGCAGCAGCAGACCAGCAGCTCCAGAGGTCCTCGGGAAGCTCGTGTCCAATACAGGGCTCTCTTCCTCAGCCTGCCTCACAGGCGGCTGCTGCTGCTCTATCAGACAGACTCTGAGGGAAAAAAGGAATGACTTTCTTTGAAGGGCAAAAGCTTCTTTTATGCATGAGTTCAGCCTACCTCACCTGAACGTGTGCAGTAATGCAGAGCCCTGGTCTGCCTGGCGCAATGATATAAGCAGCCTGGCAGAGACTTCCTGAAATCTGGTGTTCCTATCAGACATTATTTCAGCAGTCTCAGAGCATAAACCTTTCGGACTGTGAGCTATCTCTGGAGGGGTTACTTTAAAATTAAACATCAGCAAGCCCAAGGTACCCATCGCCAAATGAAGCCGATGCTGTGGGTCCCAGCTCAGACAGTGCAGTGCAGCAGCCACCCTCAGTGCCTGGTGTTCCAACAGGAGCACATGGCAGCACTCCATCCTAGACACAGCTGCTGCCAGAGGAGGAAAGAGGAACGGAGCCCACTGCTCTTCTCTTCATCCCTCTTTTCTTGACTTTTTTTTTCTCCTCCGAGAGCAGAAGGCAGAAGGTAATGCAGCAGCACCTACATGGCCCTGGGTGATGAGCCTGCACCAGGACCAGCAGACAGGCAGGGGCTCCTGGATGCAGCGTGAGCTTTCAGGCCCCACTAGCTCTTGTCCAGCCGACCACACATGTGCTGCCCACCAAAGGGCACAGCACTGCTCACTGTGACATACGAGCTGCCATGCTGTGGCCGGGTGGGCAGGCAGGGAGAGGAGATCACAGAACTGAACACGCTGCTCCAGCCCGCTCTTTATGCAGAGTGGCTAATTAATGTTCCTGGCCTCCCCCGAGGACGTGCGGTTCTCATCAGCAGACAGCAACTGAGACAGCCCAGGAGCAGCCCTGGCAGAAGGCTCAGCCTGCCTGCACTCTCACAGTCAAAAAATCCTTTCAGAAGAACACTTTAATTTTGTTCCAATCAACCAAATCATCACAGAAGCGGCTGCCTGTGCACCTTTAGACCCCGGCTGCTGCAGGCTCCTCAGGGAGGCTATGATTAATGAAAAAGACCAACTTCCTTAATAGCTTTGGAGGGAGTCACTCTCCACTCTTTCCTTTGGGTTGTCTTGTGCGTTCGCTCCTCTGATTTCCTGCTCTGCCTGCAAACGGCATCTGGAGAAGGTGACCTTGGACAAGGGCTCCTGGAAGCAGGTACAACAGCATTCTAAGAGCAGCTCCCATCCACTCCGTCTCAGCCCAGTCAAATAACTGAAGCAAGGAGGGGAGTAAGTCTGCCACCAGCCTCCTGCAATCTTAGCAAAGCACTCTGCTGCTTCAGACTGTACTGGCAGCCCACTGTGCCAGATGCTCCACAATGTGATGGGTTAATTATGCTCTCCCCACACTGGGATGGGGTTCCCCATCAGGGCTTGGCTCCCTTCCAGCCTCGAAGTGAGCCCTGGGGCTCAGAATGGTCACCCCTCCATCACAGGCTGCAGCTCTGCCGGTCTGCACGTCTTCAGTTAACACGGCGCACCGTAGCAAGCAGAAAATGAAAAACAACAGTGCGAGTAGATAACGAAGCATCTGGCCTTCAACATAAATCAATCAGTAATTCTGAGCAAGCCACTCTGGCTTAAAATCTAATAAGCACACTGAGGGCTGCCCTGTGAGGAGCACTGGCCAGCCAACCCCATGCAGCAGGTGACCACAGTACACAACCCAGCTGAAAGTTATCCACAGATGATCCACATGCTGAGAACTCCTCTGTTGCTTCTTCAAGCCCAAAGTCATCTTCTTCCCCAGGAGGCAGACATCACTCCCAGTGCACCTGAGGGCTGAGCTTTCCGTTCAGGTCCCTGGCACAGAGCCCAGCTGCAGAACTCCTCCCAGCATCGCCCCCTCTTCTGGCAGAGGGGCTGCTGCCCTGGTCCCCACCCCCAGGCTTTGCCAGCCCAGCAAGGAGCGCCCACCTGTGCCTCCCGGACCACCAGCAGTGTCACACAGAGGGACTGACTTGAATAAGATAAATATTTTAACCATAAAATGCAATCTCCAGACACTTCGGGGCAGGGCGGTGGTGTAGCAGAAAAACAGATGTTGGCCTGAAATAACTGAACTACACATCCCAGCAACGAATCATTCTGGCCACACAGAGAAGTGCCATTAATTCAGATAATGCCAATATGGCAGGGAAATTCTTCTCCATCCAATTAAGCAGTGCCTGAAGTCAGACATCTCTGCACAACAGCCCAGTTTTCACAGGAACCAAATCCTCTGCCCTGACGGCAGCTCAGTGCGCAGGCCCTGCTCCAGCCGCCGGGTGCCTTCAGCAGAATGGTGCTGGAGGGGATGGGTGAGCACTATCCTGCCCTTCTCCAGCAGCTCTGCCACCCCGGGCAGAAGCCAGAGAGCACCCATGAAGGGCCATGGAGAGGGACTGTGGGCTGAGATGGGGCACTTCTGCCTGAGAACACCTCCAGCTGCCCTCCTTGTGCCTTATGGCCTCTGTGTGTGACCAGGGAAGGTGCAGCAACACAAGGGGAGCAGAAGGCTGGCAATATGTGGGTTTTATAAAAGGACACTGGCAGTGGATTAGCAGCATTTTGGCTTAGCAAATCTGAGGACAGAATATCAAGGGGTTGTCAGACTATACAGAAAGAAGAACCATCCAGGCAGAAACAAATGAGAACCAATTATAACTAAATAGACCTCGTGCACAAATAGAATATTGCCATTAAATATCATTTATCCCATTTAATTAGTATTTTCTGGACACAATACTCTGGACTAAAATACCATTCCATCTCCTTGAAACTCGTAATTATTGTTGTGACCTATGCTGTTAGCGTCCCCCTGCTTTCTCCACCTTGCATGCCATTTAAGAGCCAGCAAGATTTTCAATTATCTATGCCGAACTGCCAAAGATACCTTTAAAAGAAGAGGAATAATGTGTGACTCAATTCCTCTAAAAAAGGGGAGAGATCATTTTTAGTCAGAATGAACACACTGCATCTTTCATCATTCTATTTTTGCGAGAAAGAGTAAAACAGGCTATTTAAAACACCCATTTAAATGCAAATCTTTATATTCCAGGGAGGGGGGAGTTTATCATTTCCCACCGACGGGATTATTTCCCCCAGCCCTCTGAGGTTTGAGGCTCACACCCACACAGGTGCTGAGGAATGGGCTGAGCCCTGGCAGACGCTCGGTGGCACACTTACCCAACATTCCCATCCCCAGCATAAAAGCGTCCATGGTGTACGGCAATCCGCGCGCCCTTCCTCTCGTCCCTGGTGGAAACATCACTTCTTTAGGTTGTGCTTTCTTACATTCTACCTATTGAGCAGAAACACGTACAAATGAGATGCAAATGAATTCCATGTAAATGTCAAATGCAGAACTGATCTACTTAAGGGGGGAGATTTATTTTTAGCGTTTTCCTGCCCCCACCACCTCCCCCTCAAAGATGAACTTTCTGAGCAGTATGAATGGATTTAGAAGAGCACACGTGTGCTTCTTTCAGTGCACCCAGCGCTGTGAGGACGACAGAAAAGCTGACTGAAGAAGCTGCTGTGGTCCTGGAAGGAAAACCCGCTCTGTGTTTTCTCTCAGTGACACTTTGCAGGCGTGGGATGGATGAAGGAAAGTCCTCAGCACAGCTCTATTACAATCAATAGCACAGAACGACTCTCGGTGATCATTACAAAAAGCTCCTTTTAAAACAGGAATAAGGAATCAATATTTCTGCCCAGCAGAAAATTTCTGTAAACCCTATTAATAAACGATCTGCATTCTTTCACTTCCAGTTACTCCCACTGCCTCTGAGTCCCTCCATGCCACAGCAATCACCTCAGCTCGCTCCTCCTGAGCCCCTGCAGCAGTCCAAGGGCCAGCCTGCTCCCAGGAATGGTCTGCAGGGTGCTGGACAGCTGAGTGCCACTTCACTGCCCCTATGGGATGGGCTGTGACCACGCCGTATCCCCACCCCCTCTGGCAGCAGTGGGTGAGCAGTGACAGCAGCAGACAGGCCCGGGGCTGTTGGATAACGTGGCTGAACATCTCTGTTCCTAATAGCCCTATCAGTGGCTGTGTGTTCATTGTCTTATGAAAACCGACCGCCTGTTTCTAGGCAACCTGATCAGCGAAAATTTCAGGTTTATACAATTTTCATTTAGGTAACATGAAGGTTAACTGACTGTAATGGCAGTATTTTAAACAAAACCACCTACTCCTCCCCTTTCTGCTGCAAATCTTGTGCAGATCGTATTTACGTCGCTTGCTTGCAACACACCCCAGTGTTACAGCGCTCAGATCTGCCGTCAGAACGAGCACTTCCTGCAGCAAACTGCCCGAACCCAGGGAAGGCTGGAGGGAAATTCCTCTCAAGTTCTCCTTTTCCACCTTTCTGTCAACAAGTGTTGAGGTCCTTAAAAGAGCTGTGGGGAAGGGCTGCAAGGGATGGGGTAGCGCAGCAAAGCCCCGCCGTGGCACATTGTGAGATGGAAGCACCACAGTGCACACTGGGGGCCTTGGTATTAAGGTAAGGAGAGAAGGAAAAGGGAGCGAAAAGCTCTGTCAGGGAATTCAGGGGGCCCTGCAGCAGCAACACGCCACGACTCTGCCTCCAAGAGCACGGGGCACAAAAACAGCCGAAGCACCGGCACCAGCCGCACCGACCCCGCAGCCACGTCCTGCCAAGTGCTCCTCCTGCACTGCTCAGAGTCATTAAGCAGCAGTGTGCCACCCTAACTTCTCTAACTGCAATGGGCGACCACCAGAGGCGTTCCATCAGCACATCCTTGGGGTTCGCCACCACTCAGTGTCACGGAGGCACTGGTTACACCTCACAGCTGCTCTCACTGCAAATATTCAGAATGATGAAAACAATGTAGCCTGGCTCGACGGACAATTAACAGGAAAATGAAGTTTGGATTAGCACCGTTAGAAACAATAACCCAGTAATTAGCTTTTGCAACCACAAAACAGCCTACTGCTGCTCCCTGAAAGACTGACTTAATTTATGATTTTCACAGCACATGAGGATATAAAGGGAACGGTACTGAGCTGCAAAGAAGTTTTAACATGGATTTAAAGGAGAAGAAAGAGTCACCAGTAGGAGAAAGAAATAATTTCTGTAAACAAACACACCCCACAGCAAGGGCAGAACTGCTTGTTACTGCCCAGCAGAGATGACTCCTGCGTGGGGTGGGTGACATGAGAACCAGGACGTGCAGGGCTGGGCTGCTCGGGTTGGGGACAGCACAGCCCCAGGGCAGCACGGGGACACCAGAGCCTGGGCAGGCTGCCCCATGGGACAACATGGCCACGCTCTGCATCTGCTGATGGCACAGACGTTGCCCAGCTCCGTGCTGCCCAGGAGCCCGGCCCAATGTGGGCACCCCGCATGCAAACCTGAGTCACGTACAAGCTTTTAGTTCAGCATTTCTGCACATCTTAATAATTTCCAGATTTTTTCCGCCTCCCCTATACGAGGGATGTGCTCCAGTTTCAGCAGCCTAACAAAGAATGGTTTAAAGCTGAAAGAAATTAAAAAAAAAAAAAAGCAGGGAAACTAAAAGTCACTATTTTTGTTTAGTCTAGTTGGCAGAATTAACGTCGCGCCGGGGTGCTCCTGGGTCAGATGAGCAGTCAGAGCCACCAGAGCCCAGGATGGCTGAGATGGGGAGTGAAAAGCCTCTCACACCCAGCGCAACAAGGCGGGCTGTCAGCTCGCAGCACCACGACAGCTCACAAAAACACGGCCAACAGCTTTCCAGGGAAAGCAGAGCACTCCCAGATTCACAGCGCACAAAAATCTGCTTTACCACCCAAAGACAAGGTGACTTTGTCTAGCTGGCCTCGCGGTTAGCCGGGCTTGGGCCGCCCTGCTGCCCCTCAACGGAAGCATCAGTGAGAGCTGCAGCCATGAGCAGTGCTGCCCTGCGACCGCTGGCAAGCATGCGCCCAGCTGGGCACGGCTCTGGGATGGAAACCCAAAGCACGCGGTGTAATGCATGCTGCAACCACAGCTCAAAGGCTGTCGGTCCTGGGAGAGCAGTGCTGACACATCCAGAACAACGCAACCACCAGTGGGTCCCACCATGGGGCAGGGGCAGAGTGCCAGCCCTGCACCATGGAAGCCCACTCACAACAGCTGCAGAGAGGCCCAGTCCCAGCTACCCACATCACCATGGGATGTGAACCACCCTGCTACAGCACAGATCTCAAAGCAAATGACCCCTTCACATTTCTTTTCCGCTACTTTTGCACCCCCTAGAAAACCAGGCTTCTTTTGGCAGTAATGACAATATTCCGGGTACATTTCATTTTGGCTTTATCTATTCCCCCCCGTCCTCAGAGTTTGGAGAGAACCCGTGGCCTCCCCCATCAATTCCAGCCTTCCATTTATTAAATACCTCTCTGGCATTTTCCTTTCACTCGCACACCGCTCGTTTAATATTACACTTGACATTCTAAGCTTTATGGATGGCAACAGAGGCAGAATGGGAGGGATAAAAATAACCTGCATGGGAAGGCAGGCTGCAGCCGGGCCGGGGAGCTGCCAAGGCAGTGCTATAGAGCACAGCGGGCCGCCAGCACCCTACAGCACAAGGCCGGGGAGAACACCAAACCAAGGCACGGGGCCAGGGGCACACAGGAAGGCTGCCTGCTGTCAGCCCCGACCCAGCACGCCATCACATACGTGTGCGCAGGCTCTGCTGCTCCTGCACGGGTTTGGTAATTAATCTGCAGGCACATCGGCAGCACGATGAGTCAGTCCCAAGACAGGATCATGTCTCATCTCCTCCCTCGTGGGCTGCTTTTAAAATTAGTGCTGCGGGAGCGACAAGAAGAGCGTGCTCGAGGCGCCCGGATCACGCACCGGGAAGAACGCACTTCCATTACTCACAACAGCAGAACAGCCACCCGCGTTCTGCTGCTCCTTGCAACGCGGAGCGCTTTCACCCTGCGCCCCGCTCAGGCCGCCTGCCCACAGCCCTGCGCAGCCCTTCTGCACGAGGAGCCTTTCCAGAGGGGCAGATCCTGATAGCAGAGCAAAACCCAATCTGATGTTTGGGGCAACAACCACAGACCCCCCCCGTGCCCCCAGCTCACAGCTCAGCTGGAGGCTGCTCCTCCTGCTAGGGGCTGGCACTGTGCCTGCCCCCAGTAACGGTTCTGCCCTATGCTCTGTGCTGCTTCGGGCTGCTGTCAGCGCCCGGCCACCTCCTGCACCTCCCCACTGTGACTCACAGAGCTGAGAGCCGAGCTGAGCTCTGGAGAAAAGTATGCAGTGTGAAGTAAGCAAACCCACGGAGTGCTTCGTGATGGGCACTCACCTCGCATTAGGGAAAATCCTGTTCTTCCTTCCTCGCTGACAAGCCTTACCCAAATTTAAAGCATTCCTAATTTGTAGCAACTCAGGGCAGGAGTGCTGGGTGATAGCTCTCATTTAGTTTTAAGGCAGACAGATCAGCATTTAGTGACTACATAGGGAATGGAACCTCTCCCACATTCATCTCACACGAGGCATCACCAGCAGCAGAAGGAAACTCCAGAAGTGAAGCAGAGAAGCCGGGCAGGGCGAGCTGCCCCATTCCTGCCCCATTCCTGCCCCGGACCCCAGCACTGTGCCTGCTGGAGGGACGGCTGCTTTTATTTCAGATGCACATTGCAGTCAGGAACAATATGAAGAATATTATTTCAGTGCCCTGGGAAAAATTAGCAAGTCAAATATTGAATCAGGCCTCCAGCATATGCCAAGGAGATTGCTTTGATCTTATCCACACTAAAAGCTCCATTATTGAATTTAAAGTCTGTGAACACATATCAGACCAATATACAATGCATATCTGAATACACATTTGAGAAGCGAAGGATGTTTTGACAAAGGGAAAAAGAGTATTTCAGCTGAAAATATCAAAGTTCTCGCATCGACGGGAAGACAAACACCCTTCTCCATCTGTCACATCGGCTTTTCCGACAGGGCACCGTGCGACCTGGGGCTTGATGTCACCCAGGAGAAACTTCCCCACAGCTGGGCAATGCTGGCACGCCGCAGCACAGCCTTGGCTCTGGGACACAGGGCTGGCAGCAGCCGCGGCCCAGGCCCCGCATCCCGGCTCTGGGCAGAACACACACTTACCATTTTATTATTGATTTCGTGGAAGTGGATTTCACAGACTTTTTCCACCACATCTTCATTTTCAAAAGTAACGAAACCAAATCCTGTTCAACAGAGGAACAAAAAGGGGAGGGGGAAAGGAAAACGTTAGTGAGGTCAAACAGCTTTTCTTCTAACAAGGCATTATTTGCCATTTGGACTTTGGAATGCTTTCACAGGAACATGCTCATGTAAACACACCTGCCCTGCACAGTGCTGCTGCGGAACTCATTACAGCCTAATGGAGGGAAGAAGCATCACCTCGGAGGAAATTAATAGGGTTCTGTTACAGCTCTTCCATAGGATTTAATGGAGAATTAAAACCTCCTTATGGATTTTTTGATCCATCCAAAGAACTTAATGGATAGTTACACCCTGGTTACACGACGGCTCAGAAACTACAATCAGGCTATATTTTCTTTTACACCTTATAGGTTTTTAAGAGCAATCTCTACAAAACCCAATTATACATCTATGGAAGCATATTGATTTTATCTCCTGTTTAATTCCAAGGGACTTCTCCATTAGGGCTGACTCATTGCAGGACAAAAAACCCAACGAACCAAGAACCCAGGCAGACAGCAGCTGGTTGCTGCCCTCCCCTCACACCAAGCCAACGCTGACGACTTCAGCAAGGCACCGGGGCCGGCCAAGTCTGGAGGTGCTCATTTGTCCCCTCTTCCTGAATGACTTCCTCTAATGCCTCATCAGGACATCCTGAGGCCTCTCAGGAGCCATCAGTCAGAGGGCTCTGATCTAACCGCTCCTCTCCTCCGCACTGCTGGTCAGAGGTGTGGGGATGGGGGCTGCGGTCGGGCTGCTGGATGCCTGCTGCCCACCTGCAGCCCAGCACTGTGTGCTCCGCTGGCTGCATGGCCCCGCAGGGACACATGGCACCTCACCCTGCACCCACAGCACCAGGACCTGGCAGCGCCTTTGGGGGAATCTACAGCACAGGTAGTGGCCAATGCTCCCCTCGCTCTCTGGATCTTCTTGGGCGGATGGAAAAAAAGAACACTAGAAATGGTTCCAGCACTCCTCTGAGCTGCAGCACATCACCCAACAGCACACTGCACCCAAACGCAGCGTTCAGAGCAATGCTTTGCATGTCAGCACGTACAGCTTCAAGCGTGGTGCTTAACCCAGCTCCCCTCTTTGCCTTCCAAACTATTCCATTTAAATCCACCTGAAACAGACCTGTACTCACAACTGAATGCTTGTGGTTAACCGCATGGGTGCAGCACCCCGGAGTGCCCTGCACAGCGCTGGGACTGTCACCACCACCACCACCTCCTCCTCATTAGTAACTCATTAGTGAGTGCTGCAGCTGAGGATTTCTCACTGGGCTCCTGTCAGGTCTTGCTGCCAGGCTAGAGCCAGGAAGGGGAATTTAGAGGAGATTAGCATTAATACACAGCATGACAGCCCGCTGCAGGCAGGACACGTTGTGACCAGGAAACAAGTTTCCCCTTCTCATCGCACTCCATACGGCTTAAACACGGCTTTACCCAGAAATTACTCCTCTGATTAAACCAGAAAAGCAGAGACCTGCTCAGCTTTCTGTGTTTACAGGCTTTATAACAAGAATAAAATATCAATCCACAAATGTCAACGCTCATTCAGGTTTTTAAAGATCCAGGCCAATCCTGCAAATGCAGGCAAAAGAAGAGACACGAGTGGGTCCATAGGAAAACCCAGCACCAGCTTTGCCTCATTCCTCCCCGGGGGAGCACAGCAGAAGAGCAGTGCTCAGCGCTGGGGGCTGTGCTGCCTCTGCTCTCACGGCCTGTCCACAGCATCCAACTGCTCCTTAAACAACCCCAGGAGATCGCTTCCCTGCAGCTAAAAAACTCCTAAAACAACCCCATAATGGGTCCTTCTTTGTTTCACTTATAAAATATTGGATTGCGACTTTCAATAATTGCACACATAAAAAAACATTACTGTATGCATGCCTTATTAGTTAGCGTAATGAATACGCGCTCATTTCTGAATTACCAAAGCTCTGAGAAACCTTCCTGGACGAAACAGACAATTACTTCTTATGAGAGGTACTGAGAGTCAACAAAAAACGCTCCTTGGAAAGTGCATGAAAAAGATTAACACAAAACAAAGGCGGCTGTTTGAAACGGTGACAGAAATAGGATTCCGGTTGTCAAGGAGCACACGTTTTAAAATGAAATTATATGGCATCCTTCTGAATGAAGCTATTATTGGAAGCTAACAAGCTCTATTTAAGAGATAAGCATTTAACAGAGTCAAACGGTTTGTGTTTTTTTTTTATTATTCAAATGAATAAAACTGAATATTCATTTGAATAATCTTTTCTGGAGAAGAAAAGACAATGAAGAGGGAGAAAATAAAACAAGAGGCCAACAGAGTCCGAGTGAGCAGCCCTGCAGGAAGCGAGATGGCAGCCCGGCCCGCAGGCAAACCGGTGGGGGTGCAGCCCATAGGCACTGCTGGCAGCCGGGCAGCGCTGTGCGACCCGGCATCCTCACGGGGAAACACATCCAAGGGAACGGCCCAGGGGAAGGTAAGCCTGGGGAAATGCATTGCCTCCTCGTGCACACACACCAGCCTCCCTGGAAACACCCCTGATACGCCCGAAATCACCGCCCAGACACTCAGTGCCCAGCACATCCCCAGCACACCATATGCCCTCACCCACAGAGCCCCCGGCCCAGGGCACTGCCAGTTCTGCACTCCAGAGGTGAGGGGAACACTGCTCTGAGAAACCAAATAAAACCACGAAAGGATTAAAACAACTTAAATCAGTGGGCGCCACAAATCACATGGAGAAGCTGTGCTGAAGATACCAAATGTCAGCGCTCCTGTGTTCTGCACTTTGTTTTTTTCACACTTGAATCAACTATATTTCACACCTTTGTCGTCACTTGAGAAGTTTTCTGTCAACCTCAGTAAAATATAGCTGAGATGACGACACCATCGCTATGAAATATATCTGCTTTCGCTTGCAAGTTGGCAGCTGCTTTCCTCAACCAGGGTGCTGAGTGCACAGCAGTGCATTACAGCTGCATTTAGGTGCACCCAGAACATCACTCAGCAGCAGTTGTGTGGAGGCTTACACATGGAAGGCCCTGCTCTTTCAAACCTGCACCAACAAAGCTAGTGTTCGTGTTGGCTGCAGAGGCCACTGATCACACTGACCCCTGCAGCGTGCCCTGTCCCATACTGGGGGTACCTCCACCTCCCAGCAGTCAGTCCAGCCCAGCATCTGCACTGTCACCAACTGCTGGCCCAGCATCTTCCCAAAGGCAAAGGACACCTCTGCTTTCCAGCCACAGAGAGGAGCTCTGGGGGTGGAAGCAGAGCAGTGAGCACCAGAGGAGACTGCTTTGATCCCTGGCTGTCCCAAGGCCACCCCGTGACATGGAGGTGATCATCTCCTTTCACCCACGTTGGTCTGCATTGTCTACTTGGACCACCTCCTACAGCATGCTGAAGTATGAGATAGTTCCTTAGAAGGTCTCTGGGAAATAAGTATGCACCAGGGCTCTTTTCTGCCTGCACAACAATCCACAAGACCAAGGGAGAGAAGGGAAGATATACACAGCCCGCACTACACCAACAACTGCTCAATCTCACTCCTGCTGCCAGGCAAGAACACCTGATGGACATCCACACAGCACAGGGCAGCACAGCTCCATCCATCCCAGCCTGGCAGTGCAGTGCAGCCCGGGCTCACAGTGCTGTGCTGAGGGACGCAAATCCACGACAGCCCCCAACCACCACAGCACTGGAATGAGGGAACATCAGCTCAAGTTGCGTTCCCTCTTTGCATTTCATCTTGGTACCCAGTGATCCCATCTGTATTTGTTTTATGCCTCTCTTTCTCTCCCCATATTTAAGTTACTTAAGCAGTGGAGCACAGCAACGTCCAGTCCTGCCATGGCATTATTTACGCACCTGCTTTCTTGTTTATACCAACAGTTTTGGCAGCCAGACCTGTAAACCGTAATAAAATGCATTTTGAAAAGCTAAAAAAAAAAAAGAAAAAGGAATGTGACCAGACAAGCCAGGCATAATAATATTAAGGCCCGTGTCAATTAATTTTTCCTCCTCTTGATAAACGAGCCCCATTCCATCCATTAATAATGAGGGAAGAAACAAGAAAAGTTGACACTGGTTTAATTTATTTGCTCAACTTGCCTGGTCATATTTCTCCCTGTTGTAAAGCTTTCTGGTGCTGCTGGGAATTGCAAGTGGCTCCCACACAGTCGATGCATAGATTGGTGTGAATCAATACAGTTCTGCTTTATTCACACATCCCTCGTAATCAGAAGGGAAGAAGTTCCTTAGTAAGTGATCTCACACCCGCCAGCCCACCTGCAGCAGTGACAGGGCTGTGAGGGACGGAGGGACCGACGCAGCAGGTCTGCTGCCTCCTCTCAGAGCAGAGAGGTTGGGGCACCTCCACTGCTCAGACGGAGAACCAGGACAGTCTGGGTCTAACCAGTGCTGCGTGAGGTCCCTGGGAACAGGGAGTCGATGGGACAGCCGCTGCTTTGCTCAGAGCAGAGCCCTGCAGGACCCGCACAGCTCAGCCCGGTGCCCCTCCCCGCACTGTCTGCACAAAGCACGGGGCCCCCCCAGCACTTCAGGTCCCACGCTGCTTCTCCCCCACTTTCCAGTTCCTTCTGTGACGTCTCCATCTGACAACCACAACTTGGCTCGTTACAGCTCAGAGTTGTTTGAGACAAAAGCTGTCAATTCTCATTTGTTATTCCTTATTATTCCTTGTTATTCCCATTTCCTGAGCGGCATGCACAGAAAGGAGATGTTCCTGTCTGCTGGGGAAGTAACTCCCAGGCCTGCAGGCTATGCCCTTCGGCTGGCACACACCTCACCTCCACGTTGGGGCTCAGAGCAGCGATGAGAAACTGCTTTACAGCACTGCCTGCACACGGGGATGGCACAAGGTGCTGCTGTTCAGTGCCAGCACAGCAGGAGCGCAGGGCAGCACGCAGCAGGAAAATGGGCACCAGAGCCCTTTGCTCCAGGCAGCTGCGGTACTCAGGTCCCTCACTGTCCTCCCATGGCT